TCGATCGCAATTGACGTAGTTTATAAAGAACTTATAAATTCCAATCATCGATATAATACTATGCAAGTATATAAGCAACATTTGGAGATACATGTGATAGCACAATTTTTAGCCGAAATGTTCAACGCGGAACAAAAACGAATATTTCGTCATCCTCGAGAAATTATTTATGCAGAAGCGAATATTGTTCAGCAAAAGAATGATCCAACAAAAATTTTTCAAGTCGAAGCTCGTTTGCACCAAAAACTTCAAAAGTGGAATAACAATAGTGGCGGGGTATCCATGGAAGATTATGCAAGTACACTTCAATCATTTTCCCATTGGACATATCAAATTACGGGCGGACGGCTGATGGTCGTTGATCTGCAAGGTGTTAAGACTCAAGACAATGTATATCTACTGACAGATCCTGCTATACATTTTCAAAATCTTAATCGCTATAGAGAAGCACGAACTAATTTGGGCACGAAGGGTATGCGTGAATTTTTCCGCACACATGTTTGCACTGAAGTATGCGAAAAGTTAGAGTTGGACAAAGTAGAAAATAATATTGATGAAGAGACATTCAAGCAATTCTACATATCGGATGATGGCGAGTTGGAACTAGTAAAAACAGTGACTGATGATTATGACTGAGGGATTTTTGTCAAAGTATCTGAGGTTGAATTTAAATACTATCACCTTTTGCTATGACTTGTGACTTTTAATTCCAATAAATAAAATTTCATATAAAATACGATGTACCATAGTAATACAGTCGGTACTCGAAAATTTTACACCATTCAAGAATCTGTTCTATATATGCATCAATATATATATACATAGTAGAGATCAACATGGGATTAACAATAGAAAATGTAATTTTTACGTATGGAGAATCTACAGCGAGCTTTTTTCTTAACGACACACTAAACAGAAGAAATACAAGTTAATAGGATTCTTTTCGCCCTTTCGTTGACAATCATGTATTCCGAAGAATTAACGAAAAGCAAAAGAAATGTTAATTTTGATCAAGCCGAATAGGAGCACAAAGAGAAACTGTGCAAATGCAAGTCACAATCATTATTCATCTTTATGCTAGTATACACAAGAAACGCAAAACACAAACATTTTTACACATCAAAATCAAAACGCGTAAATATAGCAACATTTTTTTTCGTCGCATTCAATTTAACAAATGTCTTTGAATAACTACGCAACCTATCCTGGCCAATTCCCTCCGGTTGTCATCATCACGGGCAGTATTCCTTTAGATTTGAAAGCAGCATCGATCGCTATAGCATTTCATCTCTCCAATGGTTATGACATTCGATCGGCAAATTTTGATACTACAACATTCTTATATACATTGGTGAATTCCCATTTGTTATTCATGACACCAAATGAATACGCCCAAAAACTCAGTGAGGCAACAAAGTCTTCGAGCTTCTACATTGCAACTACATAAATTATTCTTAACGAAAATATACATCGGTGACATTTTTTTATACAATTTTTCTTCACAAATTTCACGAATAAAACTGTCGTATACTTTCACTTGCTAGTTGTTCACACATATCTATCAGCATCTTCATCGTACGAAAAGATAAGAAACGAGAAAAAGAAGATGTATGCGTTTCGATCCACTGTTGATAACGCATACGCATTGACAACATGGAATTTCGGTTGCACTCATCGACTAGCTTTGCTGTTTATTTGAATGATCAGATCATTTTGGAGCATAGCCATGAACATTCTCTGTTTCATGTTGGTACATCTCAATCAATATACAAAATGCATCTTGGACATTTTCTCATCGATCATAAAACAGAAAAGAAAGTCAACCTTCAGATACAGAGTATAGAGGAACTAAGTGCGTCTAACATGTATGAAATTCTCTTTGCCGATGAAAGTAAATCGTATCAACTTCAAGTGAGATTTATTTTAAACTCAAATGGTTTACAAATCGAATTTCCCTCGTCAACTGTCTCAGAGTACATTCGTTCAGTTATCGAAGCAGACAAACCACTAGAACGTCATCCAACAACGTTAGATGATAGTGATATGACAAATCTATGGATTGCAATAGATGCCCTGCCATTCGACCAAGAAAGTATACGAGGCGCCGGTCTTCAGTTTACAGATGGTGACCTTCGACAAAAGATCTTACCCATTTGGGTGTCCGAATGGTATCATGAGCACTTACACCCGAATAATCACACGGCTGATCGTCCTACTGAACATACAACTTACCATCCGCAGCCAACTTTCGTATCTTCACGTGGTTATACATTTTGTGCATATGGATCTGCTTACGCGCAATTCGATTTTTCTCATGCCGATGTTCATCAGTTATATTTCGCTGCGATACCATATCGATTAGAATTACGACTGACGCCATCACCGCCGATTCAATATCCATCATTGCCGGAATGGTTACAAGATGGAATCATCTTAGGGATGCAAGGAGGCACGAATGCTGTCGACGAAAAATTACGCAAGATGCATGAAGCTGGAACATACATTGCTGGTGTGTGGGCACAGGATTGGTGCGGAAAACGAATAACATCATTTGGTAAACGCGTTTTCTGGAATTGGCAATGGAATGAAAATTGGTATCCGAATCTGAAGGAAAAAATTGTCGAATGGCAACATCTCTATCGGGGCTGTCGATTTCTTGCCTACATCAATCCGTACATTGCAGCCGATGGTTCTCTATTTCAAGAAGCGAATGAAAAGAAATTTCTCGTGAGACATCTTCAGCCCGCTGATGCCGTTTATGTAATTGATTTTGGCGAATTCAATGGGGCAATCGTTGATCTGACAAATCCCGAGGCGTTTAAATGGTATAAGAATGTAATACGTCGAAATCTACTAGATTTAGGAATATCGGGTTGGATGGCAGATTTCGGTGAATATCTTCCATGCGATGTTCATGTATATGCGAACATTCCTGGTGCCTTAGTTCATAACTTGTGGCCTATACTTTGGGCACGATGTAATTACGAGGCGATCCGAGACGCAGGAAAATCGAATGAAGTCGTTTTCTTTATGCGTAGTGGTTACTTGAACGTTCAGCGGTATTGTCCTCTGTTCTGGACAGGTGATCAAGTAGTTAATTTTTCACACGATGCCGGCCTCTCAGTTGGAATTCGCTCGTCACTGTCATTATCACTGAGTCATGTTTTGGCTGTTCACATGGACATTGGCGGTTATTTCGGTCGAACTATCGGACGTACTCGTGAAGTTCTTCTACGCTGGTGCGAAATCGCCGCTTTCAATGTCATTATGCGAACACATGAAGGGAATCGACCATTATCAAATACTCAATTCGATAGCGATCAATTTTGTATAAAATTTTTTGCTCGGATGAGTCGAATACATGCTCATCTCAAACCCTATTCATTACATGTTATTCAAGAAGCTTCTCGTCAAGGAAAATCGTGTATTACTCCACATACAGAACTACAATATTTCTTCGGTAAAGATCTTCTCATTGCTCCTGTCGTCGATGCTGAAGTCAATACATTAACAGTCACGATTCCCGACGGTCAATGGGTACATCTATGGACAAGAAAAGCTTATGACAAGCATCAATGCGAAATTGAAGTGCCACTTGGGCAACCGGCTGTTTTCTATCGTTCGACAGGCGAATGGACATCACTCTTTGAGCAAATACATCTTTTCTAGTTACACTCTATCTGCATCTAACAACTGCGGTATATGTGCGTGTATTTTTCTCTATTAATTATTCCGTGTAATTGTTTACTTGTTGTCTGTTGATCGAAATTTGTGCATGATAATTAACGTATGACTGATTACTACTGAAAACGTAAGATAACATCCACCTCATTTTGAGTGCTGTTTTTCATTTAAAAATTTCTCGGTTAATGTATTCATCGATTTTTCTTCGATATTAATTGCCGTTTCTTATTAGTTACCGGTAATTAATATATTTTTATATTTTGCGTAGGTCGTTCGAAGGACACTTGCTCATATTAGAGATAGTTACTTTTTGGTTAATAGCGTCATTTTCTACCACGAAGTTTTTCTTCGGCTAAAAAAATAACTTCTACTAACCGATATTTTTCTGAAGTCGTTCAGTTTGTTTGTTTTTAACCAAATCAATCATGAGTGACACCGATCTGGATTGGACCGACTCACAAGTATCAGATTTTTCTGAATTAGGTATATTTTGGTATTCCATTTGCAGAGAAGATACATTTTCTCTGGTAATATTTTAGTTCGCCAAGCACGAAGTGTTCGTGCATCGAAATGGAAACAAGATGGAATTGTAGTCGCTGGTGATGATCAAGGAACAGCCGGTGATGCTAATCATCAATTGAATACTCCATATGAACTTGCATTCGATACAAATAATCAATTCTTCTACGTTGCCGATCATGAGAACGGTCGTATTCAACGTTTTTCCGTTAATAATGGTGATAATAATAATACGGGAATGACTGCACTGAAAATCGATGATGGCACTGCGTAAGTTTTACGCTATCTTTGTCTGATCGTAGATCCCCTTTCATCCATTTCAGAAGTCATCCGTGGTTTCCTGATGACAAAAGAAATAAACCATCAACGATATTTATCGACGGCAACGATAATATCTATGTTGCCGAAATGTATCATCCACATCGTATTCTGAAACTGTCACCGGATAAAACTTCATCGACATTGATTGACACAAAGGATAATGTGCTTCAATCGTGTGCAGGAATCTATGTGGACAAACAGGGAAATATTTATGTGTCTGATTGGCAACAATATGCGGTTTTGAAATTCGATAAGAACGGAGAACATGGAGAGATTGTTGCCGGTGGAAACTTCTTCGGTGATGGACCCGATCAATTCGACCATCCAACAGGAATATTTGTCGCTGAGAAAACAGGCAATATTTATGTTGCTGATTATTTGAATCATCGTATTCAACGTTGGTCACCTGGTAGCAAAGAAGGTGTGACAGTTTGTGGTGGAAATGGTGCTGGATTTAATCCCAATCAGTTAAATCATCCCTGTTCGGTTATTGTTGACGAAGAAGAAGAATATATATATGTCGGTGACTCTCTAAATGCTCGTGTTGTTCGATGGACAGCCGGTGCGAAACATGGTGAAGTCGTGGTTGGTGGTATTGAGAAGACACAAGGATCCAATACACTCTGTCGCGTCGGTGGAATCAAATTCGATCGAGATGGAAATCTTTATGTCACAGACATCTATCGAAATCAAATTCGAAAGTATTTAGTTGATAATTAATACCTTCAAAGTCTATTAACTTTATCGTTAAGCTTTTTTTATTCTTTCATAGAATTTAGATAATGTTTTCTATTAGTTTTTTGTTATGATCACTAATCTATGTTAAATAAGAATTTGTCAGTTTACATTAGTTCAAAGCTATCTATATTTCATGTCGGTTATACGATCAGTATCTAGAAAATATTTACATTATTTTGTGTTATTAATGTCGGTCATGTTCTTCTATGATTTGTTATATGCGTTGCGCATATGTACAGATAATGTAAAACGACCGAACGCAAAAACAGTTGGTACACTATACTACACCATTTGTGCTGCTTTTGTGCCAGTAACTTTGATGTGCATATTTGGACTATTAAAAATCAGATTAGATCGAACGAAGAGAGTCGGACATTAAATTGAAAAGATCTTCAACTAATCAAATTGTTAATTTATCAACTTGCTGTTTTCAGGCTTTTGTTTAGGCTGCAACCGTACTTCTTTACCTATGATTTGTCAACGTACTATACGACAAAATCGTCAATTTGCGTGGCCATTGGGTTCTTCATGAACAATACTGTGCATTATCTAATATACATCAAACAAAGATATTTCGACAGGAAAGGCAACAGGCAGCAATCATCACAACACACAGAAGAACAGAACACCATTAATCGTTTACCCTTGTGCATTCAGAGCGTCATCTTATCGTTGTAGGTTGTATATCGAGCTCAAGAATAATAAAATCGAAGCTTTTCAAGAGGTAGAACAATTGCATAAGCTGTATGTGTTGCGTACTTAGTCTAATGATTCAATGAGTGCATTCATAGAAAAGATATATTCGAAAGTTACACGTTCGATCACGTGAAACGTATAAAGTTTATTCTTCGATTTTAGTTTTTAATTTTTGGAAAAACATTATGAAAACTACTTCTATCGATGATTCATTTCATTCGACTAGATCAGTACGCTTGTTTTTTTATAGAAATTTTTGGTTATTTGAAGAAATTTGCTTTGGAATGTTTTCCAATCGATGTCTCTATTCAGGCCCTCGGCCGTCAAAATCGATTACGAATTTCGGATTAAAATGAAACAAAGATTAGATTGATGTTAAACAGATTCGTCTCAAACTAGAAAACCGTGACCTATCGTTACTTATTCACCTCGTTTGCAATCGTATGATTTTTCAACGAATACTTTTCAGTTCTTTACAATATTTCTCACTAATCTAATTTCCACAAGGACTCGGTCAACAGCTAAACGATCATCAGCATTCATATCTATGCATACTTCCGGTTATTTTAGATATTCTCAGTATTACGTTTAATTATTTCATTTCATCTATTTCTTTCGTGCCGATATTTGTCATATTCATGTCTCTCTATTTAGTAAAAAAACTGAGAGATGATACCAGCTTTTCGTATGTGGCGCCTGTTAGTGTGCTTACAAACTACGTTCACTCCGCTTCACGCTCTCAATGATACAAATGACAAATTCATCTGCCGAAGTATGACTTTTTTCACTAATTAAAATTCTGATGCTTCATAATCGCACTTAGCTGAATACGCGAGAAAAACTTGTTTTAATGATAAAGATAATCGACTGAGTTTTAGAGATTTGCAAATGGCGTGATACGAACCTTAGCGTTTACTTTTTCAATCAAAAGAGTCCTTATTTATAATTAAAAAAGCTAGGGATTTGACGCCAGATTTTCTATTAATATACGCGACGATAACTGCGTGAGAAGAATTTTACTTCTCATCAACAGATAAATGACTTTGTACTGGATCTTTTTCCAACAATAACCGCGATAACGGTGAACTTTCTCTAGAAATATGAGCAACACAACAGCAGTCAGCACTCAAGCTGATCTTATCAATCAAATCTATCTTTATAATCAGATTTTTACGAGATATACTTTGGGTTTTGCGCTAACCATGGGTAATTTCGGATCGATTCTCGACATTCTTGTCTTCTCACAAGCACATATGCGCAAAAATACATGTTCCATGTATTTTCTCGCTTGTGCTATTTCAGAACTGTTCACATTTAATGTTGGTGATTCCACACGAATGCTTAATTTTGGTTATAAGATCAGCATCTACAACATGTTTGATTGGTTGTGTCGAGTTCGATACTATATTACCTTTGCATTCGTTGCTATCCCACATTATTTTATAATCTTAGCATCGATTGATCGATATTTTGCCAGTTCTCGCAATGCTCGTCGTCGTCAATGGAGTTCACCACGAATAGCTCGTCGGCTAATCATCGGCAATATTCTTCTATGGCTCATTGTATATAGTCACTGTCTTATCTACTATACAAACCAAACTGGACAATGTAGCACCTACGGCGATGCTTATGATTGGTTTCTTCGTATTCAAGACGCAATTTGCGCTGCTTTTTTACCTTTAATGTTGATGTGTATATTTGGCTGGCTAACACTCAAGAATATTTGGGCAATCGGAAAACAGATCAGGCCGAACCAAGAGGATCAGACATTAAATACAATGTCCAGAAAAGATGTTCAACTAATCAAACTGTTAATTTATCAAGTTGCTATTTTCAGTCTTTTGTTCATGCCGCAACCGTGCTTCTTTATCTATGACTTGTCAACGTACTATACGCCGAAATCACCAGTTCGTGTGGCCATTGAATTCTTTATTAACAATGCTGTTCATTGTCTAGTTTATATAAAGTTCTCTTGTACGATACTTATCAATCTTTCTACATCAAAACTATTTCGATTCGAACTGTATAGATTGATTCAAACGAAGATATTTCGGCGGAAAAGGCAACACGCAGTAATCATCGCAACACACAGAGGAACAGAACACCATTAATCGTTTACTATTGTGTATCCATTTTGTCGTCTTATTGTTGTGTGACCTATTATGTACCGAGCCGTGTAGAAGTGTAATTTGACTTTGAAGCCAAATAAACAGTTGTACAAAAAGTATAATTACTTTCACAACAGAATACCCATATTAGCTTTCTAGGAAATTAAAAACCTCTACCCATGAGGAAAAGTCATCAATGATCTATATCTTCTAAAAAAATAATTTTCCATACATTTTTAAAGTTTCACGAGCAGAAAAAGAAATATTAAGAACATAATTGTAGATTTGTCGATGAAATTTAAAATTTGTCAAGGTCGCGCAGATGCATTAACAGCAAAGACATACTTCAAAGTCGCATTTGCGTCACGATGAATATGTACCGTTTATTAGTTTCTTTAGAATGTAGTTTACATCGTGAAAAAAGAAAATTATTTTCAATTATTAGGATAAAAATTCGGAAGAACTTTATTTTGAACAATACATTGTTTGATTGGAAAACCTTTCTTGACTTAAATCTCTATTACTCTGCATTGCTCGAAGAAGTATACCTCAATAATGATCTGATATTACTGAATTATTTTAATTCAGCCGTGTTTATGTTTGATTATCAGTTCACTTCGAGCATCTGCTGATTTAGTTTTATTTCGAGTTAGACTTTGTAGTGCGCGTGCAATGGTACGATTTCTCAATTTCCAAGTCTTCGGAAGTGGAAACTCGCACTTCATTTAGTAAGATCAAGAAGCCTGTGGCTGTAAGAAATCGCTCATACTTGGGAATCTGAAATATGTCGCAAGTTAATAATAAGGAGAAAGTACAACGTTTTTTTTTTGAAGAGTATTATTTCAAACTAGCAATGGATCTACTTATAAATTCGATATTTTCCGTATTAACGCTTCTTCCTAATATAAGAAAAGAAAAATTTGAAAGTTGCTTCTTTACAGATTGCAGATTATTTTGTTCGATCTTTCGTAGTTATCATTTCATTTATTCACTTGCCAAAGAGTAAATAACTCATCGACTGTTGCTTTCGTAATATTTAGCTCAACGAAGAAATATACATAATCCTCGTCCAGCTGCGGATCATCGCACTTCGAATAATTGAAAACTATTATTGAAATCAGAATTCCACCACATGTATGCGCAAAGCAATGTCATTCTTTGACATACATAGGATTTATCTCGACAACTTTACAGCAAGTAAATATGAATTTAGTTTGAAAGTAAAATTTAGCGTGATTAATAATACAGTCACTCTTAAAAGTATAGATGCCTGTGAACAAAATTAGAAGAAAATAGATTAAACTATATAGCCAGTCTTATCTAAATGTTCGACCAACTTGTGTAGTGCACGCCAATTGTAAGCATCGAAAGCTGCACTGGTTCCAGCAATTCCACTTGATATAAATGCGGCTGTTTTGACTGCTGTATCTGTAGCTGAATATCCAATCCAACCAAAGACAGTGGCGAAAATTGTCTTGACTATTGTCCGTATTCTTTGCCATTTTTTAAAATTAACAACGTTGTTTCGTATTTCGTTCGTTCGTTTGAAGATATGCTGAACATAATATTTTCTAGCTGCGAATATTTTGGGATCTGTGTTGCTCAGATCTTCATATTCTTTTTGTATTGCCTTCACTGCATCGTTGTTCGAGTAACTGTCGATGAGTAAACCAATTGATATTCCAATACCAAGAAAACTGGCACATCCTGGGTATTTCTCGATGTTTTGAATGAGCCATTCACTTGCTTGTTCAATATTTACTGATTTTAACTTCTCAGAATCCTTCATGACGATCGAAAAGTATATTACCTTGCTTAGGTCAATGGACGTCATCTCTTCTTCCAACTTCGCTAGATGTGGTTTGTCTTTAGAATCACAGAAACCTGCCAAGTTGTCGTCTTCTGAGCATTTGTCTGCTAAGACAACCTCAGGACGATTGAGTATGATCAAATAACATACAACTAAAAATAGAAGAGATTGTTAATTGTTGAGAGAAGCACGAAAACATTCCTTTCCTACCTGCGAAGAGTGTACAGTAAGCATTCATGGTCATCCAATAAGAGAAGTATGGGTGAGCACCAGCGATTGTTAATGAAATAAGAATCTGTATTAGGAGTGTTACTTTATCTTTACTTTATTTTTTTCTCTATTTATAGCGTAAAGATAACCTTTATTCTTTATTTAAAGAAAAATAAAGAAAAAGTAACGTACCTAATTTTTCAGCCATAAGTGTGAGATTGTATGTTTAATCAGAAAATGAACTTAATCTTAAGTAAAGTGTAACATCCTGTCTCACGAAATAACTCCTTGTTAATTTAATTTGTGAATATCAAAAAATTTATTGTATTTTGTCAAAAATTGTAAAAAATTCTTTATCCTTTATTTTAATTTTATTTGAAAGGTAAAGATTTTCTTTACTTTAAAAATAAAGAAAAAAAAATAAAGATAGAGACTTTGCCTTTACTTTATTCTTTATTTAAAGAAAAATGAAGATAAAAGTAACACCTCTAATCTGTATTGCCGAATATCCAAGAACCTATATACACAACACCGGGGAAAAGACCAGGGTAATTTGGAAGAAACCTGTGATTGATATAGTGGCGTCAATGGAGTGCCTGTCTTCCTTGGAACTATTTTACAGAAATATTCGATGTAATCGTAGTCCCTATGGGATATTTCCCCCTCCTGATTCTCTCTCTCTATGTATAAGTTGGAGTTTTTCCTATGTTGTTGTTGGTTTTTCGTTAATTTCCAAATAAACATTTTCATTCACTACAAGACGTGACAATACTCGACCGTACAATCCGCGATAAACAAAGGATGTAAGTACAAGAACGTGTGACGTCTTGTAATTACTTTAGTCACAAAATACGAAAAGCAATAAAAACGAATATGAAAGCGTCGAAAAAGAAAACGTCAACATAAGGACATGTTGCTTTTATTTTTTCGATTTTTCCCAAGTAGACACTGTTTGTTTTGATATTTACCAACAAATCCGTTGAATGATCCGAGCACGGACACTGTAATCGAGCATACGTTTGTTGATACAGCAAAACAGAAATTTCTTTGGCTTCCCTCAGAAGACAACAGTAAGCAACTAGTTAACTTCTTTTGATATTTGACACCTTTTATCTCGTAATTTAAGTAAAGAAAATACTTCGACGGATCTTGATGAACGGCCTTTTCATGTCATTTCAACTTGTAATTGCCCGATAATTTCGAATATATTTAATCAATGCAATCATTAAAGTACTCAATTAGATTACACCACCATATACAAAAATAAATAGAAATTACAGTAATGTAAAGTTTCATCAACAGTCACTATCACTATTCGTCAACTAATATCGGATTAGAAGACTGATCGAACTATTTATCTTAGAAGTATTTTTCAGAAATGCTGTTCGGATAAACGATGTGGCAGATTTCAGTTTGAATATAGTAACTAGAGTATATATCCAACTTCATCAAAAGCCCGCAACAGTTAGAAACAACATCAAATTAAATTGATAAAACACATGTTGTTGATATGACTGACGGATATACAAAATCGCCCACGCGATTCCATAATCGAAGTAGCTGGAAAACCCATTGTCACAAGTGTACATCTACGCTCCGACATCTCTCAATGGATATTACTCACTAGTTGTTCTATAGATTTTTGACCTTGTCAACCACACGGTTATTTTTCGACATATCAAAAGATGCATAAACTTGGATCTTACCATTATCCGTACTATCACGATCCACAATAATATAAAGTGCATTGTATCGGTATCATTTGGATATACCTTTCAATAATCAACAGCATATTCCAACCACGCGTACCAATCGCTTTTTCTCCAATGCAATTGTTTCGGGCAATTTACATGATGAACCGTCCATGTTAGTGACTCAAACAATACTTAATGAATTATCGAGAAAAAGAGTTTTGTTCACTGTATCTATAAACACCTTCAATAATAACTAAAATTCCCTTCCACATTCAACATTTGTCTTCGTTTGATGATGATGCTAAATGAGGTCACTGATCTGTATATGTGAATGCGAAATGAAAATATACTCCTGATTAAAACGATATTTCAGTAAATAGATCTCTCATGTAGATCTAATAATGTGCCGTTATTAATATTCTATGTCATATACTGTAAAGGTGGAATGATTTTTTTCTTTCGAAAGATGACTTTTGAGCATTCAACATTGTGATGGAAAAAAAACTGTACATAAAAAATTTGATTTGATACTCTGTGAGATTGATAACGATTCAAGTGAATAAGCAAGTAAAAACACAGCAAGCCGTCACCATTATGAAGAAACTCAGACATTGTGCGAAGTTCATTACGATTGGATTACATCGATCAAGTACATTCGTGCCAGATGTCGAAGAAACAAGAGCAACTTGCTGAAAAGAAGAGAAACTCTATTATAAATTCGAAAAGAAGCGGTAGTAGTACGTACAAGAAAGCCCCAGGTTAAATTAAAAATGCAAATTGAAACGGAAACAATAATCAAAGCAATTTTACACCATCGACGATATGGATCAGCAAGGATAGTTCGAGCAATCGTCTACAAGCTTCAATCATTCCGAAAAAGACTACCTTGTGGATAGAAAAACTTACCAGGATACTCATGATCCAACACAAAACAAAAGTAAACGCACCGAACACAATCAACCATATAGCTGGTGTCAGTCTTCGAGAACAGCTGGAATGATCATGAACTCCGATAATCAAAGCGGTTAGTGAGATAATCGAGAACAAGATTAAAACAGTAGCCAGCGCTGTAGTCAATTTATAAGCCGCAAAATGTTTGCAAATATATTTCATTAATTTGGAAACGATGCAAGAAGAAGTATCTTCGCTTTCGATAACTGTTGCGTACGATGGCGGAGGTTCATTTAAGTTCTGTACAGCTTTCTCGTACGAAGGCAATACGTCAATCTAATGACAGATGAAAACACATGAAGCTTATTGTGTACTGAGCAACTATTCTTCTTACTTTCGGATGCATGTTCTGAAAGTTTAACTAAAGAATCTCAACGGTAATACATGCCACTATATGCTATAGCACACTCAATCTCAATTTAATTAAATAAAAATAACGTTTCAGTTTCGATGATGCAAAAAAAAGCAATAGAAATAATAACAAAGAAGCCATGCTAGAACAGACTGGAGAAAGAAAAATGATTTAACTGACAGTAAACTTTTACCTAACCATACCGTCCATTGAATTGTTGAAAGATTATATTTGAATGTAGAAAAGATCCTAGAACATATATTTTTGAATAGATATGAAATGTGACAAAAAGAGGTCGTAGACTTATGATGATTTGCGTTTATTTCACCATATAGTTCTTCCCAACGATACATATTCACTATACAAAAAAGAAACAATGTTTATCACAGAATTGTTTTCGCGGCCACAGTATTGGACTATACACTTGGTATTATTCAGATCTAAGAATTGTGACAGAGGAACATTGTAAGTACGTGTAAGGCCAACATTTTGATGATTTATGTTAAAAATATTTACATTTTTACTGTCTGATAGACATGTACATGTTATAGAAAGGAAGTAGATTTTTCTGTTGAATTCAGTTATAAAATAAATATCATCTGTAATGTAAAAGTAACCAGCAATTATGATTCTTAGCGTCGATATATGTCCCTCCTCGAGCAAGACTGAACATCGACGTTTTCCACGAGTTATACGGAATCAACAACGATTGTATTATTGTTGGAGATCTGAATGCAGCACTCCTCCAGATGGGATCTAGAAGAACAAACACAAAAGGCAAACAGCTCCAAGAACTGATCAACGAAGGCTTTTTGAACTGTGTCGACGATTCTATTACCACATTTGAAAAGAACGATTACGAAGAAAAAATTGACTGGATTTTAGCCAGTCAACCACTCTTTTCATTCATATCAAATGTCGAAACACATCCAACATTAGGACTTCTTAGTGGACACAAGCCATTAACCTTCGATATCTCGATCGGAACTGAAGTCAACGCCGCATCACCACGATTATCGCTCAACTTTAAGAGAGCCAACTGGAGGAAATACAGAAACACACTGGACGAAAAACTGAAAACATGGAACAAGCCAGGTCCAATCTTACCCGGTGACATAGACGACTATGCAGAGTTCGTCACAAATTGTATCACCACTGCCTCCAACATAGCCATCCCAACAGCGTCAATGCCGAATACAAACTTCAAAGTAAGTGAAGCTTCCCAACGTCTGATCAAGAACAAACATCAAGCATATCGACGTTGGAAAACGACTGGAGAAGCAGCAGACAAACAACAATTCTACAACTCTAAAGTCCTGCTAGCCAACTCCCTTAGGAACGACAGAAGGCACAAGTTTAAGCAATTAATGGAATCCCTCTGTCGAAAGAAGNGATTTTCTCACTTGTTCTCTCGATTCATTTATTAAATATTTTGTTTCAATTCCAATTAAATGAGATGAACTTGCATTTCCAAATAAATTTGTCGATTTTAAATGATTTATCATTGATTCAATGACATTTTTATCTTGTCGTGTTGTTGCATTATTGTCTAAATAAATGATTTTTGATAAATCTGAATATTCTTTCTCATAATCATTATTCATGGATAAGGATGCCATATGTTTCTTTGATAAAACGTCCTTCGTAGAATGTGGAAATCGTAGTACGTTGTCGTAATTTTAAAATTGTCACGCCTTTCTTTTCTTTTCCTTTCTCTTTCTCACTATGACGAAGAATGACGTGGCAAAATATACAATAACAGATGAGAGAATGAAAGAAAGAAAAGCTGATTAACGCAAAGTCGCTATACTTTTTTTTTTTCTTTTTTTTTCTCATCACATTTTCCATGATTAGATGTTTTCTTGATGAAAGTAAAGAGACATAAAAGAGAAAAAAAAACATTATTTCTAAAATAACAATACAAACAATGAAAATTTTATCTGCTTGACTTGTTTCACGTGTTATTCATTAAACAAACAGTTCAAATTTCGTCAATGATCTTCGGTTTCTTCATAATCGAGAGTCGTCATAGCCTTCATCATATCTCTCCGCAGTTTTTTGTTCTTTTAGTTATTATCGTTTGTAGAAAAGTGACGCTTGAATGAGAATATTTACAAGTTGTACATGTCAAAATTGTGATTAAAAAGTCGAAATAAACGATCTACTTCAATTATGGTTGATTTAAATGTTGAATAATACACATCAGATCTTAGTGAATAATACACATAATGTTTTCAAAAGAGATTAACAAAAGATCCACTCGTCATCAATGTAATAATTAGAATCTTTTCTTCTGTCACTATGTAATTGTTATACTTTTCATATGTGAATCAAAAGAAATGCTGGTTGAATATTTCTTTGGTTTTTATTAAAATTTGAAGAAAAGAATTGAGATAAAGTTGAACATTTGTTATATGTTTAAAATATTGTTTCTAAATGTACGGAGAAGAAATTGTCACATCATGATAAATTGTTATCAAATGAAAAAAGAATCTTATTTGCCTTGGAAAATAACAAAGCATTGTCATCATACTTTTTTTATCTATATTGAGTTCACATATGAAAAGAAGAGAGATTTGTTTGTTGCACTTTGCTCGAGACAATTTGATAAATGAAAAAGTTCTTTATTATAGATGAAAATGGAATCAATGAGTAAAAAGGAAGATTTACAAATCAATGTTGCTGAAGTTGATCCGAGAATTGAAGAAATTAACAATGAAGATGAAGTGACAAAACATCACAATGGAATTTATTGGCGTTTATTATTTCTTAATTTAGTTGTTTTATGGGCATATCAATCATTAATTTCTGCACAAAATTATTATATAAAATTTTTTCCAAAAGATCATTTAGATTTTTGGGGAACAGTTTCTGCAGGTACATCAATGTTTTTTCTTCATATAATTCAATTATGGCTCGGTGTTTATAAATATGGATTTACAAAACGTGTTATTCCTGGTTTTATTTGTTATATTTTAATTTCCATTGCTGTTATGGCATTTAAAAATAAAATTCTCTTAATTATTGCATTTGCAAGTGTTGGTGGAGTAAATACAATCACAGAATCTCCTATTTATGGAATTGCAGGTTTATTTACAACAGGTTCATTTACACAAGCAGTTCAAGTTGGAAATGGTATGGCGGGATTTTTAAATGTAACAGCAAATACAATAATACGTTTACTTGTTTTATTATTTCATAGTCATATTGATGAAGATCAATTGTCATTTTATATTTTTATGAGTGTTTTGATTGTTTTATGTATTTTAGCAATTTATGTTTATTATCGTTTAATTTCACTTCCACCTGTTTCATCTCGAATTGATCAACAAATGAATTTATTTCAACGAAATAATGTTCCTGATGTTATTCAAGTAAATGAACATGAAAACGAACTTTCGTTTTGGACATTAGCACAAATTTTAAAAATTCATTTAATTGTTCAATTTTATGTTTTATTTATTAGTTTATTATTATGGCCTGGAATTCCATGTAGTTCATCAAATACAGGTTGGTTTGCATTTCGAGGAAAAACTTGGTGGTGTTCACCATTTGTTATTTTTACATTTAATCTTGGTGATTTAATTGGACGAACATTAGCTGTGAAAGTTCATCAATATTTTTCATCAATGACATGTCTTGGTGCTGCTTTACTTAGAACTTTTTTTATTATAATTATTTTTTATCGTCATCATATTGATAATATTCTTTTACTTGTTTTAATCACTTTGATGGGTTTAACAAATGGTCTTCTTGCAACAATTACATTTATGGTTCGACCAGAAACTATTGTTGGTGTTCATAATTGTGAACGAGCAGCTTATTTAATGACTGCAGCACTCTATTTCGGTATTGCAGCTGGTTCAATTGTAGCTGCAACTTTAGCATTAACAAATGTTCTTTAAATTTTCTTTTAATAAAATGAAAATCTTCAGATTTCTTCTCTCAATGATTTGTAGTGCAGAAAGTGTAAGAGAAAATATCTTTTCGATTCTCACTCAAATGATATATTCATAATATAACTCAGAAAAAAAAACATTTTTAGAAAATAAACTTTTCATAAAACATAACAATATTATCAATCTAATTATTTCATCAACACAACAAATAATTTGAATGCTGATAGAAATGAATTAATTATCTACAGTAAATGTGTATTTATCTCTTTGAATATACACAAAATTTCCTTTTGATGGAAAAACTGATTTGACTAATGAAATGATTGTTGTTAATCAATAGCAGATGTTTGTAGACAATTGTTTATTCGTTTTAGTTTCAGTTGAACTTTTAATTAAATTTACAAAAAAAAAGAAAAGATTTCTTTTTCATATTAATCAGAAAGTCTTTCAGTACATAATACTTTTCTGTATTAATTGATTTCGATTTCTTTCTTAATTCTTTTCGTTAATCCAATTAAAGATTGAAATACTTTTACAAACAACATTGATATCGTTATTACAGTAATAATTCCATATTTGTCTTCTAAAAATCATCCAAATCTTTATTTCCATATGATATACGTTTTTTTACGTATAGAAATCCTCGTCATTGATGTCGATACCAAATATTTCTGCATTTGAATAATGTTTGAAGAAATGTTTCACGAAATACACATGATGTTAACAGTGAAAGATAAAATGCTTTGGCATTATTTAAATAATAACAATAATTGGATAGTAAATAAAAGCTGTATAAAAGAGTTCCTGGTTTCAAATTGCTTAGACCTCCGATAAAAATATAAATTAATGAAAACATGATTGTCAATTGTAGTGAGAGAAGAGCTGTTGTCAAAATTTGTGCAAATATCATCGTAATGAATCGATTTCGAGAACGACGATAAGTATTTGGTATTGTATTCCGGCTTATGGGCGCCTACATGATACAAACGATCTCTTGTTTTCAAAGAGAAATTACGTCTACTTACTACTTGTTGACGACTCTTTCGAACATTTCGAAATGTTAACATAACAAAGATGAACATTAATGTTGGTTGCATAAGCCCATTGATGAAAATATACAGTAGAGTATTAGTTAATGGTTTTGTAATTGTACACCCCGATGTGTTTCTGTATTCATAAAGAATAAGACTACGTATTGAAGCTAAACAACTAGTAAGAATGGTTATAATAATACAGAATGGGACCATTTTAAGTTGATTAATACGATTTATACGTGAGGTTAATCTACATGTACTAGCATATCGATCAATGACCGCCATCAGTAAGAAATTAAGTGATAAATGTGGAAAGAATCCAAGACTCATCATTTGCAGTGGACATAAATAAGTCAATCCTAACCATGGAGCACTAATTCCATGACTTAACTTCAAATAATTAGCAAATAAATTAAGTAGAATGTGGATAATATCAGCAAATGAACCACAAAGTGAATAAATACAACATGTGTTCGAACGAAGCTCGCGTTGAAGATAAGTAGAAACATTACCCACAAATCCAGTTAGCCCAAGAATAACAAACAATAATGGTAAATAATTTACAAATTTGGCTATTATAACCTCGATAATTCCTACTGAATTTGTGACTGTAGATATAGTCATATTAATAATTGTGCTGTTAGACGTCATTCAAATGAGTTAATATCTAATAAATGAAACTCGAGTAAAATACAACTACGATGTGCTTTTCTTTTGTTTGAAAATCTCTTATGGTTTTAAACTAAAGTACGATGAAATGATCCCATCGGTACACAGATTTTTCTCTCAAGTCATGAGATCATTAATTTAATAAAATACATACGATGAAAGGAATCAAATTTGACAGTTTCTCTTGAATCCTGCTATGCATTGGCGGGCCGGGGGTTTTTGAGTATGGTATATTTCAGCTTTAGAACATGGGACCAAGATGAAACTTATGGAAGATGATAAGGAGACCAAATGGTCACTTTTTGTGAAAAAATTTTNAATCATACGAAAAAACAGTTTTCGCTATCTATAGAATCTTTCTACGTTAAGCTTTCTTAATGTAACTTCTTCGAATACCTAGGCAGGTTTTATTTGTTTGATGACAATTCTTATTGAAACAATCAGAATTTCTGGAACAAACTTGATTTAAACTACATCGAGCGCCACAGATCGAACCACCACAGTCCACATCAGTTTCATCTTGGTTTTGATTTCCGTCATTGCAAGATGATACTACAATATGTTAATATTCGCCATGGGATATGAACAGGACAATGTTTGCTCACTTTGACATAGTTTCGATGATATATGGCAGTTTCCATTCGAGCAATCAGAGTTGTTTGAACACACTTGATTCAAATCACATCGAGCTTCACAAACGAAACCACCGCAATCAACGCCAGTTTCATCTTGATTTTGATTTCCGTCATTACAAGATTGGACTAGAATCATAGATAGGCTATTATAATTTATGCAAGAAGTCGACGACATCTTTAATTCACGTAGGAATAGAAATGATCTTTTGGAAGATATATGTGGCTATGAAACACAGATGGGAATTATGAGGAAGGAGAGCATTATTTTATTAATTCGTATTTCTGAGTTATATTGAAGTATTAGCATTGTTCCGTAGTGTTGAGCAAAAATAGAAGAACAGACGATTTTTATCCTTTTTTAGAGGTCTGTATAGAATGTTCTTCTTCCTACTGGAACTCGAATCTTAAGAAATACTCATACGAAAACGCTAAACCTCCAAGCATGTGGCGATGTTTCCTCGGTTGGTATTTCTAGTCTGAAAGAATTGAAAATTTTCTCAAAGATCCACTTCTAAATCATATCGGGCATGCAGTGAAGTGGTTTTGCTATTGAAACCAGGGAGGGGAGGAATCGTGATTTCATCTACTTCAGCTCGTATTTAGAGTAGAGTGAAGTATTAGTAAACTACTAACACACATCTTGCTTCACTGGGCTTCATCTATACTTCACTGTACCGCAGCGGTACTTCAGTCCTCCATAAGGAACTACTTGTGAATTGCCCTTGGTAGCCGCTACAGAAAGAACAAGAATTTGTCAGGAAAGCACACTATATTACTTGAACTTAGCTGGAAAATCTGCATCTTCCATATTTATTCTATAAAAAGAACATTGCTCTCTGCTTTAGTGAACTGCTATCGGGAATTTTCCGTATTCAGTGAAGTTAAGACGCAGTTTTTCTGATTTCCATGTGTTTTAGTAATACAAGTACTGAGTTGGACAGATATGTTTTCCGGATGTATTTTGCAAGATCTTTGAAGAATTGAAAATTTTCTCAAACTTAACATTCACAGTGAGGAAATGCGATCACATACTTAAAGATTTAGCGGCTTCGCATGTATATTTCGAAAAACTCGAGTTACTCACGGAAAATTTTTTTTCTAAAAACCGCGGTTTTCGTCAAGACACCGCGGTTTTTATATCACAAACCGCGGTGTCATAAATCGCGGTATGTAGCTTGTTAAACGCAGTTCAGTATATAGTGGTTATTACCGATATCATAAACCGCGGTATATACACTGATAAACGCGGTTCAACATATAGTGGTTAC